CTATCTATCTATCTATCTATCTATCTATCTATCTATCTATCTATCTATCTATCTATCTATCTATCTATCTATCTATCTATCTATCTATCTATCTATCTATCTATCTATCTATCTATCTATCTATCTATCTATCTATCTATCTATCTATCTATCTATCTATCTATCTATCTATCTATCTATCTATCTATCTATCTATCTATCTATCTATCTATCTATCTATCTATCTATCTATCTATCTATCTATCTATCTATCTATCTATCTATCTATCTATCTATCTATCTATCTATCTATCTATCTATCTATCTATCTATCTATCTATCTATCTATCTATCTTTATCTATCTATCTATCTATCTATCTATCTATCTATCTATCTATCTATCTATCTATCTATCTATCTATCTATCTCTATTTTTTTGTAATAACATAAAACATTTTCTGGCTCAGAAAAGCAAAAATACGATTAATTTTAATCGATAATGAAGTCCTGTCTTTTTGTCTAAATAAAACACTTTATTATTTTTTTTTTAATTTTTCATGTCCACATACATATTTTTATTTTATGATTTTTTTATTAAATTTTTTATATATTTTTTTGGTTTATTTTTTTTTTTTCAAAATAAACTTTTTTGGTAGGTACACATTTATTTAATTTTTTTATTTGTTTTATTAACAATTATTATTTTCTTGTTCATTTTACCAATTCAATTAGATATTTAGTTTTTACTTTTAAAAAATAAATGAAAACATTTACATCCAATATAATGTTGGTATTTTCTTATTTCTCTTTATTTTTATTATTTTTACTAAAAATTTATTTCACTAACTAGAGGATTTTTCTTTGTTTTTTTTTTGTAAAAATTTTATAATTAATTTTTGTATATTACAATGCAAAAAAAAATCAATTAATTAAATCTTAAAAAAATATAAACTTACGTTTAAATTAAACAGAAAAATTGCTGTTTATGTTATAAACACTAAATAATAATTAAAAAAATTATTACAAAAAAAATAATAATAATAACTATTAATAAAAAAAAATAATAAAGAAAATATTGATAATAATAAAACAACTTATTAACTAAACTTATATCTTAATGTATTTTATATTTTCATTTGATGGTATAAAAAAAGAACATCCTGTTTAAACAAGGTACATATTTTGTTGTTATAAATTTACTTTTAAATTATGAACATTTTACTTTTTTGTTTATAATTATTATACATATTTTAGATTGTTTTAATATGATGTACATAGTATTTAACAAAAGTTTATAATCACCAGATTTTGAAAGAAATATAAGAACTATCAGATATGCTCTCAATAAGTTTCTTATTTAAAATCAGCTAAATGGACCCATAAATAATGCAGGTGATTAGCCAAATGAAGAACAACAAAATTACCTAAACTTTTTTTGACAGCTTTTCGATCCCATGTCAAATATATCTGTAATCAGGTATTAGCCTTGCCTATAATTCAGAATATAGTCTTGACTATAATTCAGACTATAGTCTTGACTATAGTTTAGACTATAGTCTTGAATATAGTCTATAGTCCCGATTATAGTGCGGACTATAGTCTTGACTATAGTTCAGACTATATTCTTGATTATAGTTCAGACTACAGTTCAGACTATAGTTCAGATTATAGTCTCGACTATAGTTCAGACTATAGTCTTAACTATAGTTCAGACTATAGTTGAGACTATAGTTCAGACTATAGTTGAGACTATAGTTCAGACTATAGTCTTGATTATAGTTCGGATTTTAGTCTTGACTATAGTTTTGACTATAGTACAGATTATAGTCTTAACTATAGTATATACTTGACTATAGTTCACACTATAGTCTTGACTATAGTTCATTACAGTATTGATTACAGTTCAGACTATAGTCTTGACTATACTTCAGACTATAGTCTTGACAATAGTTCAGACTATATTCTTGACTATAGTTCAGACTATGGTTCAGACTATAGTCTTGACTATAGTTCAGACTATAGTCTTGACTATAGTTCGGACTATAGTCTTGACTATAGTTCAGACTATAGTCTTGACTATAGTTCAGACTATAGTCTTGACTATAGTTCAGACTATAGTCTTGACTATAGTTCGTACTATAGTCTTGACTATAGTTCGTACTAGAGTCTTGACTATAGTTCGTACTATAGTCTTGACTATAGTTCGTACTATAGTTCAGACTATAGTTCAGACTATAGTCTTGACTATAGTTCGTACTATAGTCTTGACTATAGTTCGTACTAGAGTCTTGACTATAGTTCGTACTATAGTCTTGACTATAGTTCGTACTATAGTCTTGACTATAGTCTTGAGTATAGTCTTGAGTATAGTTCGGATTATAGTCTTAACTATAGTTCAGATTACAGTAGTGACTATAGTTCAGACTATAGTCTTGACTATAGTTCAGACTATAGTCTTGACTATAGTTCAGATTATAGTCTTGACTATAGTTTAGACTATAGTTCAGATTATAATCATGACTATAGTTCAGAATGTATTCTTGACTATAGTTCAGGCTATATTCTCGACTATAGTTTAGACTATATTCTTGACTATAGTTCAGACTATAGTCTTGACTATACTTCAGTCTATAGTCTTGACTATAGTTTAGACTATAGTCTTGACTATAGTTTAGACTATAGTCTTAACTATAGTTTAAACTGTAGTCTTGACTATAGTTTAAATTATAGTCTTGACTATAGTTTAGGCCATAGTCTTGACTATAGTTTTGACTATAGTCTTGCCTGTTGTTCAGACTATAGACTTGAATATAGTTTAGGCTATAGTCTTGACTATAATTCAGAGTATAATTCGGATTATAGTCTTGACTATAGTTCAGACTATAGTCTGACTATAGTGCAGACTGTAGTCTTGACTGTTGTTCAGACTATAGACTTGATTATAGTTAAGACTATAGTCTTTACTATAGTTCAGTCTATAGTCTTGACTATAGTTCAGACTATAGTCTTGACTATAGTTTAGATTATAGTCTTGACTATAGTTTAGATTATACTATAGTCTTGACTATAGTTTAGGCTAAAGTCGTGACTATAGTTCAGACTATTGTTCATACCATGGTCTTGACTAAAGTTCAGACTATAGTTCGGACATTTAGATTATAGTCTTGACTATAGTTTAGATTATAGTCTTGACTATAGTTTAGGCTATAGACGTGACTATAGTTCATACCATGGTCTTGACTAAAGTTCAGACTATAGTTCGGACAATAGTCTTGACTACAGCTCAGACTATAGTCTTGACTATAGCTCAGACTATAGTCTTGACTATAGCTCAGACTATAGTTCAGACTAAAATCATGACTATAGTTCACACTAAAGACTCGATTATAGCTCAGACTATAGTCCGGAATATATATCAGACTATAGTATGGACTATAGTTCAGACTATAATCTTGACTATAGTTCAGACTATAGATCAGACCATACTTTTGAATATTGCTCAGCCTATAGACTTAACAAAACTTGACTTTCTTTCTCAATCTGGTGATTTATTTTTCCAATAATAGGCCTATTTCTTTACCCGCCGGCGGATTTTAATTAGAATTTATCGAAATTTTTTACACATCAGACAAATTCTAACTAAAATTACAGACATGGAAGCGAACAAAGCCATTACTTAGTACATACTATGTAAGTATTTGTTTTTATTTTAGAAGAAATAGTTTAAATTAGTTAAAAAAAAAAAGAACTAAAACTAAATGTAATTTTATTACATGCAATTTATTTAGAAAGTAAAACCCAAAAAAAAATGTTTGCAAATAATATTCAAAAAGTTAAGGAATTTGTATTTTTTTAAAAAACCATAAATTCCTTTTATTATATATATTTTTATGAAATTTGTTTTCCAACATTTACAAATACAATAGTTTTTAATTTTTATTTTCAAGATTTTTTTTTTTTTTAGATTTTTGTGTTTTTGAAACTTAAATACTAAAGTGTTTTTGAAACAATTAAATTCTATATTTCTTTTTTCTTGCCTTTTGCTTATATAAAAATTATAAAATAAAAAAAAAAAAAAACATTTTGTAATTATTTTTTTTTTTTAAAGAAGAGTTTAATTTATTAGTTCAATTTATTAGAAAAAATAATTATAAAATGTTTTTTTTTTTTGTAGTTTTTTTGTTTGATTTTTTTACTAAAAATAATTTTTCTAAAAAAAATATGTAGTTTTTAATAAAATTAAGTTAATTATAAATTACTTAAGAAAGTTAGATTTTTTTTATTTAGTTTTTTTTTAATTTAATTCATAAAAAATTAAAAAAAAATAATATTATGTATATTTGTAAAATATTAAAAAAAATACACAAGACAACTCTGACTGTTCTACTTATGACTTGAATTTGTTTAAATTAATGACTATTTTTTTATGTTTATTTGTTGTGGGTTGTTGTTGTTTTTTTTTTAAACATTTGTTTAACTATTGAACTTTTTGTTAAATGTTTTTTATATAAAAAAATGACTGTTTGTTTTCTGCTAATTAATTATTTAATAAAAATAATTAATTTTTAATGTGGTAAAAGTAGTTAGTTTAAAAAAAATTAGCGAGGTACTTTTTTTCATTAAAAAAAAAAAAAATTAAAATAATTATGTAAAATATTGGAGTTTTTGTTTTGAGGGGAAAAATTTTATTTAGTTAAAAAAAAATATGGAATTATATTGTACTTTTCTCTTTTCTTAATAATATTAGCAAAAAAAAAAAAAAGATTAAACAATAAATATATATTTTTCTTTGGTTTTAGTTACTTTTTTTTTTTAAGGTTTTAGCCTGGATAACAGTTTGACAGTTCTTAGCTGTCAATGTGTTATCAGCTGCTTTTAAAAACAATTATTTTATTTAAAGGAATTTTCTTGTTTTTTTTTTTAACTAAATAAAATTTTCTTTAAAAGAGAATGCTGTTGATGATTTTAAAAAAAGTTTGGAATTTTTGTTTTATTGTAAAAAGAGTTAAAAATTATAAAAAAAAAAGTTTTCTGTTTTTAACAAAAAAAACTTCATTAAAATTACAAAATCTAAAGAAATAATATTTAAAATATTGAAGATTTTTATGGAAATTTTTCCAAAACTAAAACAAGAAAGAAAATATTCAATACAAAAATTATCGGAGTTTCCATACAATATAAGCAAGCGAATTATTGTTTCAACTTTAGACTAGGATTTCTCTCCAGGAACATTATTAGTTCTAGAATGAATGCTAACAGAACTACTTCAAATTGTTGAATATCAATCTCGAAATTGGCAATGTTTTAGAAGCCGTTATCCGAAATTTCTCCATGATTATGATAGTTTTTCCAAAGAGTTTTTAAGGCATCAATTCTTAGGGAATAGTGGACAATTTTAAACAAAAATCTTTGATTAAAGAACTAATTCTAGAAGCAGAACAAGTTCTTTAAGTCAAACAGATTGAAATATTCATTTTGTTCTAAAAGAACTAGTTCTAGAACGATTGCAAACAGAACCAGTTCAAAATCTTGAAAGCCATTCTCTGATTCTATAGATTTGTTAAATGGTTTTTGAAGTTCCAATTCTTTGGAGTTGACATACAAATAAACATTTTTCATAAGAGAACTGGTTCTAGAATCATTCTATATTTAGAACAAATGTCGACTTTAACTCACTTCTCTAGAACCAGTTTTAAAGGTTACAAATTTGAACAAAAGTCACTGGTGTAAAAGCTAAAGAAGAGCAATTACGGCATTCAAAAGCGAACGAATTCTTTATTTAGTATAAGAAGTTGTTCTAAAATAACTACTTCTAGAACGAGTGCAAACGGAACCACTTTAAAATCGTGAAAGCCATTCTCGAAAAAATTACTCTAATTTTATAGATTTCCTAAAGGGGTTTGAAAATAAAATCTTTGATTAAAGTATAGGTTTCCGAGTCATTCTATAATTTAGAACAAATTTCGACTTTAATCCTGTTCTCTAGAATCCGTTTTAAAGGTAACAAATACGAAATAAAGTCGCAAAGCTAAACTAGAACGGTTTACGGCTTTCAAAATCAATCATAACTAGTTCAAGAACGAGTCCAAACAGAATCACTTCAAAATCTCGAAAGACATTCTCCGGAATACTATTCCGATTCTATAGATTTCCTAAGGGAGTTTCAATGTACCAATTCTATGGACATAGTTGATAAAATAACAAGTTCTAGAATCGTTTTATATTTAGAACAAATATCGACTCTATAACACTTCTCTAGAACTAGTTTTAAAGGTTACAAATTTGAACTAAAGTCACAAAGTTAAACTAGAATGAGTATCGTATTCAAAAGCGCTAATGTCTATTCTGTAACGTTTCTACTGAATCAGATCTAAAAGCGACAAACTCATTGAACTTAATGTCAAACTAGAACAAGTACGGTATTCGAAAGCGATCGCAATCTTCATTTATATTATGTTATTTTAGATCTCGTTCGATGAAATTTGGAATTACTTGAGGTTCTTTAGTGATCCACTTCCAGATGTTTTAAATATTATTTCCCAATAGGCATTACTTTCAAGACTATTTAAGTACTGAGAAAACTTCATGGATCCAGTTAAAAACCACGTGGTTTAACATTGATCTGAAGATAACAGATGTTCTTAATCAGTCACTGATTCTAAGAGTGCAAAATTTCGGATAAAAATCTTTAATTAAAGGATTTCAACAAAATAATTGCATTTGGAATCGACATTTTTGACTCTAACTGATTTTGAATGATAAAAATGTGTGATCAAAATCTTTGATGTTTCCAATTATGAATCGTGATCGATTCAAATTAATCACTTACTTTCGGAACATATTTTTAAACTATTTACTCCGCAACTGAAACTGTTTGATTAAAGAACTGAATCCATTCGATATTTCATTCCGAATGCTAAAATTCATATTCTCTTCTGCAGACACTTTCAATTAAAACTCAGATAAAGAATTAAACTTAAAATTTGAAATCTTCTGAAGTAGTTCTGAAACAAACTAAAGGAATACTTAAAATATTCATAACTTATAGAACTAGTTGTTGAACTATGTTATCGTCCTTTAAGTCTTAAGTTATGGCAAAAATATAACCACTAATCTTTAACCAATAAACAACAAAATCGCTTTTAAATCAACTAAGGTTACAAAAAAATATGTTTTCTTAATTTTCTTTCCTGCTTTAGCACCCTAATTTATATACCTTGACCTTAAGAACTTGGTTAGGAATTGTCACTTGGGCTGTATTCGAGCACTTCGTTCCAATTCATTGAACTGACCGTAGAAAAGTACCTCGCTTATAAGTTTTTCAGCAATTATCCGCTGTGTACGATCCATCGCACGTAATTTAACACTAACATTAGAACCTATAAAATCGCAGTCATCTTTATTCAGACTTTCAGCATAAATGGCAGCGGCCGCTGCAGCAGCTGCCGCCGATGAGCTGGCATCTTGGGAGCCACTCATACCATTCGGATTACCGCTTAAGCTACCCGATTTGATGCGCCCGCTAATCGACGTATTGTCCTCGGACATACTTTCGTTGGACAGTAAGGAATTCATAAGCATTTGACCGGCCTGACTGCTTGAAGCACTGGTCGGATTTAATTTACGCATATTGAGTGGGGTGAATTTTTCGTCTATCGACTCGGTGGAACGTCTAAGACTAGGTGGCAGGACAAAACGGCTGAAATCAAGACCTTTGGCAGCAGCCGCAGCTGCGGCACTAACGCGTAAATCTTGAGCAAAATCATCGGCTGATTCGGCGCCATGGCGATTTTCATCGGTTGAGCTGTAGGAACGATGTGAATCGGGCGGTGCTGGCGGATGGGGGGCGTGAAAATAATTCTCTAATAGTTCTTGTTTAATATCGAGATCGTCATGACCTCGTGACCCGCTCGAGACAGCGCCACCGGGTATTAAATGTCTTTGTTTATGAGCTTCAAAAGTATTTGTATTTGGTATAGGACTAGAACCGGCTTCAGTACCAGAGGTGCCATCACTGCGTCTACCCGTGCCACCGCCACCACCACCGCTACTCATGCCACCGCTACCCACATCACCGGGACAAGTGCCATTCTCACTACCCACCGCACCCGGCGTGCCATTTGGACCTGTACTCAAGCGTCCGTCATTGGATGTCACTGAAGTATCGTGCAGATTGGACGGTGTTGTACGTTCACATTTGGTATCATGCTCTTTACCTTCATCATTTTCAATATCAGTTGTATCCATGGGCTTTTGCGGACTACCCGTAAAATCACTATTACTACTGCCACCAAATAAACTGCGTGGTCCACTGCCAATAACGCCGCCGCCACCACCACTACTGGTGCCACTAGTATTTAGTTCACTTTGTGGTGTGTTAGAGAATGGCATTGGCAAGGGTACTCTTAATTGATGATTTCGTTCGCTAATGGGTGGTGGAGAAAATTGACCCACTGGATTCCATGTTTCAAGTGGCTGGGAGTTGGCAAGCAGCATAGGTAAATTTAGACCCATCTAAAAGGGTAAGAGACAAAGATATTTAATTAAAATTTAAACAATATAAAATGAATATGTATGTATAACTAATAGTTTAATAATATGGAACCCTACAAAGTTTGTACAAATTTATACATTTTGTACTGCAAACACAACTAGTTCCAGAACCCTTTCATAGAACGGTAGTCTATTCCATTACGGTTTCACAGCACCAGATCCAGAGATAATAATATAGAATACACTATTGACTGGATTATAGTCCAGGCTATCGACCATAGACTAGATTATGGACTGTTCCATATACAAGAATATGAACTATACTATAGAATAGACAATAGATTAGAGTATAATATAGACTAGACTATAAGCCAGACTATAGATAAACTAGTCTATACTATAGACTTGACCATAAACTAGATCATAGACTTTAAACTAGACTATGTACTAGATTAGAATCTAGACTATACCACATACTAAATTAAAGACTAGACTATAGGCTAACCTATAGACTAGACTATAGTTTATAGTCTATATATACACTAGACTTTATCAACGTGATCGAATAGGATCTTATATATATAAACTAATCTTATTTCAAAAACGCCGAGTGTAATATTTATTATCAAACTATTTTGTGAAATAATACATAATACATATCATTAACTATGACTTATACTTTAAAAATTTCCTAAGTTTTATTTATATTTATTAAAAAAAACACAAACAACGTCTTTTAAATAATGTCTATATTTTAAATTTATATACTTCAGTCCGCCCAAAATTATTGATTAAATTTATAAATTATAAAAAAACTTCCACTAACTTTGTGCCAATGAACTTTATGATTATGTATATCGATCACTTAGAGATGATACAAAAATACACTGAAAGAAATCAATAGATTAAAAAGCAACCCTGTTTAAGTATTAAGCAAATTCAAATTATTAAAAAAAATTTTCAATTTACATAAAATGTCTTAAAAATTTCCATTTTATAAATTTTATTATTTAAAAAAAAAATGGCAAAATAAGTAATCTACAAACCAGCTACAACAAAATAATGCGTAAACAAATTTTAAACAAAAACAACGTCAAAAGTTACCAACAACAACCACTTTGTTTTTATAGAAAATAAACAAATATCGAGGCAAAAAGAAATTGCAAAAAATACTTTAATATTCACATATATGTATATAGTAAATACATGTATTAAGTAGATAGCGGAATATATAGGAAAGGCCTTGAGAGTAGAGGCCTTTTATTGTATTGCTAAATGATTAATTGAACCCCGTTTTGGCTAGATTTGAGACTTTATTCGAAAAATCTGTTACTTCAGTGAAATCTATCAAATAAAGGTAACCTCTGTTAACTAACTAACCTAACTAACTAACTAACTAACTAACTAACTAACTAACTAACTAACTAACTAACTACTAACTAACTAACTAACTAACTAACTAACTAACTAACTAACTAACTAACTAACTAACTAACTAACTAACTAACTAACTAACTAACTAACTAACTACTAACTAACTAACTAACTAAAGACTACTAACTAACTAACTAACTAACTACTAACTAACTAACTAACTAACTAACTAACTAACTAACTAACTAACTAACTAACTAACTAACTAACTAACTAACTAACTAACTAACTACTAACTAACTAACTAACTAACTAACTAACTAACTAACTAACTAACTAACTACTAACTAACTAACTACTAACTAACTAACTAACTAACTAACTAACTAACTAACTAACTAACTAACTAACTAACTAACTAACTAACTAACTAACTAACTAACTAACTAACTAACTAACTAACTAACTAACTAACTAACTACTAACTAACTAACTAACTAACTAACTAACTAACTAACTAACTAACTAACTAACTACTAACTAACTAACTAACTAACTAACCTAACTAACTAACTAACTAACTAACTAACTAACTAACTACTAACTAACTAACTAACTAACTAACTAACTAACTAACTAACTAACTAACTAACTAACTAACTAACTAACTAACTAACTAACTAACTAACTAACTAACTAACTAACTAACTAACTAACTACTAACTAACTAACTAACTAACTAACTAACTAACTAACTAACTACTAACTAACTAACTAACTAACTAACTAACTACTAACTAACTAACTACTAACTAACTAACTAACTAACTAACTAACTAACTAACTAACTAACTAACTAACTAACTAACTAACTAACTAACTAACTACTAACTAACTAACTAACTAACTAACTAACTAACTAACTAACTAACTAACTAACTAACTAACTAACTAACTAACTAACTAACTAACTAACTAACTAACTAACTAACTAACTAACTACTAACTAACTAACTAACTAACTAACTACTAACTAACTAACTAACTAACTAACTAACTACTAACTAACTAACTAACTACTACTAACTAACTAACTACTAACTAACTAACTAACTAACTAACTACTAACTAACTAACTAACTAACTAACTAACTAACTAACTAACTAACTAACTAACTAACTAACTAACTAACTAACTAACTAACTACTAACTAACTAACTAACTAACTAACTAACTAACTAACTAACTAACTAACTAACTACTAACTAACTAACTAACTAACTAACTAACTAACTAACTAACTAACTAACTACTAACTAACTACTAACTAACTAACTAACTAACTAACTAACTAACTAACTAACTAACTAACTAACTACTAACTAACTAACTAACTACTAACTAACTAACTAACTAACTAACTAACTACTAACTAACTAACTAACTAACTAACTACTAACTAACTAACTAACTAACTAACTAACTAACTAACTAACTAACTAACTAACTAACTAACTAACTAACTAACTAACTAACTAACTAACTAACTAACTAACTACTAACTAACTACTAACTAACTAACTAACTAACTACTAACTAACTACTAACTACTAACTAACTAACTAACTAACTAACTAACTAACTAACTAACTACTAACTAACTAACTAACTAACTAACTAACTAACTAACTAACTAACTAACTAACTAACTAACTAACTAACTAACTAACTACTAACTAACTAACTAACTACTAACTAACTAACTAACTACTAACTAACTAACTAACTAACTAACTAACTAACTAACTAACTAACTAACTACTAACTAACTAACTAACTAACTAACTAACTAACTAACTAACTAACTAACTAACTAACTAACTAACTAACTAACTAACTAACTAACTAACTAACTAACTAACTAACTAACTAACTAACTAACTAACTAACTAACTAACTAACTAACTAACTAACTAACTAACTAACTAACTAACTAACTAACTAACTAACTAACTACTAACTAACTAACTAACTAACTAACTAACTACTACTAACTACTAACTAACTAACTAACTAACTAACTAACTAACTAACTAACTACTAACTAACTAACTACTAACTAACTAACTAACTAACTAACTAACTAACTAACTAACTAACTAACTACTACTAACTAACTACTAACTAAACTAACTAACTAACTAACTAACTAACTACTAAACTAACTACTAACTAACTACTACTAACTAACTAACTAACTAACTAACTAACTAACTAACTAACTAACTAACTAACTACTAACTAACTAACTAACTACTAACTAACTACTACTAACTAAAACTAACTACTAACTAACTACTAACTAACTAACTAACTAACTAACTAACTAACTAACACTAACTAACTAACTAACTAACTACTAACTAACGAACTAACTAACTAACTAACTAACTAACTAAAGTCTACATGCAGTCATTGAGATTTCCACATAATTGAATAAACTGCATGATGTAGTCAAATGTAAATTGAATCGAATTATTGACCTGATATCATCATTGAGAATGTCAGAATGTAATAGTAAAAAATGATCGCTTATGAACTATTATTTATTCATTCCTAAATTCCATTAAATTCTACAGAAAGTTTTGCGATCTTACAAAGTCGCTGAAACACAACTTGCAGATAATATTGCCATCTGGGTCTGAGGATGTAAATCAAAGGTCTTACAATTCGTTTTCATTCAAATTGTTCACAGTAAACACAAAATCGATTTGGAACCAATTTCTTTAAACGAAAGGCGACAAAACGAAATTTAAATTGAAATATTACTTGTAAATTTGTACCATGCCAAAGAGGCCTTTTTCGGGGCATCTTCAATTAGGTTAATCAACTGGATATATATTACATGTTTGTAAACACAATAACAAAATGAAAATAACATCAACAACCACAACATTAACTACGAATAAATACATGTCACTTGGTAATATGATCAAAATAAAAAAAATACGATATTGGAAATTTTTTACATAAATAAGTTTAAAATGGCACTAACATAAGACAGATCTGTAAAGGAATGTATTGTTGAAATTTGCAAATTAAAATAAATCAATTTCGACAAACAGTTTATATTGTAGAAGTATACGGAATGTCATAAGTCTAATATTTCCAAACCTGACTCGCCTAAAATAGATGCTCTTCTTGAGGTTAAGAAAAGTTAAACTTCATCGGGGTTAGAAAATGTCATATTTCATCAGTTGTTTTTATAGAATGTCTATTAGACCTAAATCTAGAGTTAGGAGAGTGCAATGTATTAAGGCCGCTATGGGGTCTGATACTACTTCATACCTCGTCTATAAAATTCACTTATGGGAATACAACTATTTCTTGGTCTTGACCTGAAAGCAGAAAAGTTTCCTGAAAAGTTTCCAATTGCTTTCTTAGACTTTCTCATTGCAAACAAAGAATTGATTCTTTCACAGATCTGGCTTTAATCAAAATAAAACACTGTCAGACGAACAATATCAAAACATCTTAGAAATTTGTAACAAACGATAAACAAAAGTACAGTACAATTGTTATTGTTGTTGTTGTCTGCGTTGTTGCATGAGTGATGAGTTGTAGTGATAAATATTGAGGTGTTAAA